CGGCTCTGATCAACAGTCCAAAGCGGGAAGGGCGGAGGTGTCTGTGTTTTTGTCCACATGTGTCTTCCAGTGCTTTTGCCAACTATAACGTGCTTCTCCGTGCTTCGTTTTTTTGGTGCTGCTCATTTTGTTTCTGACATGCTTTGCGTGCTTGTGCGTGTCTGTGTGGGTTTTGAATGGTGTTGCTTCAGCGCTTGCTTGCTCCACTTGTCTGCGTCTTTGAGTGTGTGTGTGTGTGGTGTGTGTGTGTGTGTGGTGTGTGTGTGTGGTGTGTGTGTGTGGTGTGTGTGTGTGTGTGTGGTGTGTGTGTGTGTGGGTGCGTGCGCGTGCGTGCGTGTGTGCGTGCGTGCGTGCGTGGGTGCGTGGGTGCGTGGGTGCGTGGGTGCGTGGGTGCGTGCGTGCGTGCGTGCGTGCGTGCGTGGGTGGGTGGGTGGGTGCGTGGGTGCGTGGGTGCGTGGGTGCGTGGGTGCGTGGGTGCGTGGGTGTCGTGCGTGCGTGCGTGCGTGCGTGCGTGCGTGCGTGCGTGCGTGCGTGGGTGGGTGGGTGGGTGGGTGGGTGGGTGTGTGTGTGTGTGTGTCTGTGTGTGAGGTTGTGTGTGTGTGAGTGTGTGTGTGTGTGTGTGTGTGTGTGTGTGTGTGTGTGTGTGTGTGTGTGTGTGTGTGTGTGTGTGTGTGTGTGTGTGTGTGTGTGTGTGTGTGTGTGTTTGTGTGTGTTTTTGTGTGTTTTTGTGTGTTTTTGTGTGTGTTTGTCTGTTGTTGTGTGTTTTTGCGTGTTTTTGCGTGTTTTTGTGTGTTTGTGTGTTTGTGTGTTTGTGTGTGCGTGTGCGCGCGTGCAGGTCTCTGTCCCTTTGTACTTGCACCCAAGGCTTCTCAAAGCCAAAGTCTCCGATCATTTGCTCAGCCGATTGAGGGTTCTTCAAAAAGAGTGAGGGTCCAAAGTTTTCCAAAACACCATCCCCTGTGGATTCCTTTCAGGGAAACCCTAGGTCCTAGGTTCATTCCCACACGATAAAGGGTTTTGAAGAGCCCTCAACTCCGTCAAGCAGGGAGCAGTGAAAAATCGGATCTTGTGCCAGAGATGGATGCTTGCCTCAAATGGAGCCGCAATCAAAACTTGGGTAGATGAAGGTTGGGGGAAGTCCCAGACAGAATTCGTTGCGGACGCCTTCTTCTTTGTATTTTCTGGGTAAACCATTCTAATACCGGGTTTTGATTATGACTGAACCCCCCCCCCGGCATGGGGAACTAGCTCACCAACGGCCCAGTCCGGTCCGGCAGGATGATGAGGGAGATGATTGCACCCTTTGCTCGGACTCCTTGCGTGACTTCCTGGAGGTATCCAAGCAGGCGTTCCAAAAGTGCGTTGGCTTCCCTCGTTGACTTCTTGTGTTGACTTCCCTTGTTGACATCCCTTGTTGCATTCCCTTGTCGACTTCCCTTGAGGCTTCTCCTTGTTGACTTCCCTGTTGTTTACTTCCCTTGTTGACTTCCCTTCTGAAATTCCCTTGTTGACTGCTTCTCTTGACTTCCCTTGTTGACTTCCCTGGTTGACTTCCCTGGTTGACTTCCCTTGTTGATATTCCTTGTTGACTTCCCTTGTCAACTTGCCTTGTTGACTTCTGTTGTTGACTTCTTTTGTTGACTTCCCTTGTGTACTTCCCTTGTTGATATTCCTTGTTGACCTCCCTTGTCAACTTGCCTTGTTGACTTCTTCTATTGACTTTCCTTGTTGACTTCTTTTGTTGACTTCCCTTGTTGATATTCCTTGTTGACTTCCCTTGTCAACTTGCCTTGTTGACTTCTCTTGTTGACTTTCCTTGTTGACTTCCCTTGTTGACTTCTTCTGTTGACTTCCCTTGTTGACTTCTTTTGTTGACTTCTCTTGTTGACTTTCCTTGTTAACTTTCCTTGTTGATTTCCCTTGTCAACTTCTTTTGTTGACTTCCCTTGCTGGTGTCCCTTGTGAACTTCGCTTGTTCATTTCCCTTGTCGGCTTCCCTTGTTGGTTTCCCTTCTTGACTTGCCTTGCTGACTTGCCTTGTTGACTTCTTTTGTTGACTTCCCTTGTTTGTTTTCCTTGTTGACTTGCCTTGCTGACTTCCCTTGTCGATTTTCCTTGTCGAAATCCCTTGTTGGTTTCCCTTGTCGAAATCCCTTGTTGACTTCCCTTGTCCACTTCCCTTGTTGACTTCTTGTGTTGAGTTCCCTTTTGCTTTCCTTGTTGATTTGCCTTGTCGGCTTGCCTTGGTGGTGTCCCTTGTGTGCTTTCCCAGTTGATTTCCGTCGTTGACTTCTTTTGTTGGCTTTCCTGGTTGGTTTCCATTGTCTTTGTTCCCTTATTGACTTCCCTTGTCGACTTCCCTTGTTGATATTCCTTGTTGACTTCCCTTGTGAATGTCCCTTGTGTACTTTCCTTGTTGACTTCTTGTTGATTTCCCTTGTCGACTTCTTTTGTTGACTTCCCTTGCTAGTTTCCCTTGTTGACTTCCCTTGTTGAATTCCCTTGTCGACTTCCCTTGCTGCTTTCCTTGTTGACTTCCCTTCTTGACTTCCGATGCTGGTTTCCCTTGTTGATATTCCTTGCTGACTCTCGTGTGGAATTCCCTTGTTTACTTCCCTTGTTGCCTTCTCTTGTGAATTTCCTTGTTGAATGCTTTTGTTGACTTCTCCTGTTGACTTCCCTTCTTTGCTTTCCTTGTTGATTTCCCTTGTTGATTTCCCTTCCTTGTCGACTTCCCTTGTTGACTTCCCTTGTTGGTGTTCCTTGTTGATTGGCCTTTGTTGACTTCCATTCTTCTCGCCGGGTTTCCTTCATATATTATCTTGTTAACTTCCCTTGCTGTTTTTCCTTGTTGACTTCCCTTGTTGACGTCCCTTGTTCGTGACTTCTTTTGTTGACTTCCCTTGTTTGTTTTCCTTGTTGACTTGCCTTGCTGACTTCCCTTGTCGATTTTCCTTGTTGAAATCCCTTTTTGACTTCCCTTGTTGACTTCCCTTGATGATGTCCCTTTTTGCCTTCCCTTGCTGACTTCCCTTGTTGATTTCCCTTGTTGGCCTATTTTGTTGACTCTCCTTGACAAGCTGTGTGTCAACCTTAGACTAATGCGCAGAACCGTGGCAATCAGGGATGGTTTTCCTTGTGAGGAGGAACCCACCACAGCATCCCCAATGGACAAAAGCAACGAAGAAAGGCCAACTGGGAAAGTCAAATCGGTGGAATTGTGATTTTGTCTTTGGAAGGAATGAACATGGACCACATCTACCGATCTTAGTCCCAACAGAACTCATGAGACGTGTTTTCAATGAACAAGAACGGTACCATCTCCCCCCCCGAGCCCCCCTCCTGTAGCGCAAATAGGGCTCAAAGCATACTGATATATATTCCTAAGCAGTCAGAATGACAAGGCACGGAGACTGATGTCTCTTTTATGGCTGGCAGCTGTTCTGTGTGAGAATGTGGGTTAAGCCACTGCAAAGAAAGAGATAGCAAGCTGTGACATTCACATGCAGTACAAAGTGATACAAGGGATTCCTACATAGCTCTAAGGGTCAATCATGTACAATTCAAGTGACACCCCCCCCTTCCCGAACTTCCCCCCCGCACCGATCTTGGTCCCGACGCATACCAAAGTTTGCTATGAAACAAGTGCCTTGCATTTAAGTCTGATGGCATTCAATAGGCCTCTTGGACGATATCGATATTTGCCGTGACTGCCCAAGCCTCGCAGCCCCCGCTCCAAGCAAAGTGCCGGTTGCTTCAGGCCAACGCGAAGCCAGTTCTTCGCCTGGTCCTAACCAAGAAGGCGGGCCACCTCAAGCCAAAGCCGGCGGCGGCATCGCCGGCGGCGTCCCAGCCGAAGGCGGCGGCTCGGCAATCTAAGGGCAACTTGTTTGAAGGACGCCAAGGTACTTGCCAACCTTTCCAACAAGGCAGACAAATCTCCAGTGACCTGGCGCCCCCCTTTTCCCCTCCGGAAGCTGGCGGCTTTGACTGCAAATGGACCCCATGGGCCTTGGATATTGAAGAACTGGAAATGGATGGACATGGACTCCAAAACCGTCCTTTTTCACGGGGGCCTTGTGCGGGGCCTCTGTTTTGGGGTTCCTGATGCACGGCCAAGCTACTGTAGGCGGCCTGGGTCGAGGTCGGATCGCAGGTGCGGACCCCAGCGTGGGGTGGTGGTGGGGGGGGGGTGTTGCTGCTGTTTGGGGTAGACTCAGGATACATGTTACATTTTACCAGTAACTCCAAATATGAAGCAAACAGTAGAATGTACATTCTACAACTGGGCCTAACTCGAATCATGTGTTGGTGCTGCTGATTGTGCAAGTCCACACATACTCGATGTTGTCCGTGTGCCGAGATGTTACGTACGCTCCGAGTCAATCAACCGCTGGATGTGGCTCAGAACAGAACCCCTTGTTCGGGTTGACAAATCATCAGCCATCGTTTTTTCGTCAAAGAAGCGGTTGAAGGTCTACATGGTCGCGGGTTCATGTGGCGTAGTCCGCTTGAGCTTTTCTCGCGCCAGCAAGCCAAACGAACACGGGAAGGACTTGCAGTCCTTCCCGCAGTTTGTTTTCCTCCGTGTTTCAGCCATCCCCGCAAAAACACGACCGCTGTTCAAGACAGTTTCTGTTGCACGCCATTTTTTGCGGGGAAGGGGAACTGGGACACCTCCAACTCCCCAAGGATGCCTCGCCGGTGCCGGACGCCTCGCCGGCGCCGGACGCAGCGCCGACGCTCAGCGAAGTGTTGTCGCCCAAGGCCGGGCATGGAGCTGAAGTCGGGGAGGGCGTCATTTTTGGGCCCCCCCAAAAAGAATTCAGGGGTTTGTTTGTTCCTCCAGAACAGGAGCCCCTGAGCAACCTGGGGGTCTCTCTTGAGACCATCACAAAGGCGATTCGAGGGCGTAAGCCTTCTGTTTAAACGTGTTTACTGTTCAAGCTGGGTTGAAAAAAGAGTCCTCCCGCGGCAAAGGAGTCCTCCGTTTGGGCCTTGGGCCCTTGGCCCGCCCCGTGCCAGGCGCTGGCCTGCGCTGGCGCCTGCCTGGCGCAGAAGGCGCTCTCCTGGGCCCGGGACGCGGACCACACGGTCCTGGCGGCGCTCAGCGCGCCACCCGCGGTGGACGCGCTGCGGGAGATGCGGCCGCTCATGGAGGGCGCCGCGGTTGGAAGGAGTATGGCATGGGTCTCCTATCTGTTTCGGATGTGGGCAAAGTCCGACCTAAGAAACCTGGTTGCGGATGATTCCCTTGTGCTTGCCCAGTTCCAAGTGGCGGAGGATTTCGTCCACCCACATGGACGGGAATTCATACAGCACGGGACGGGTACAGCAGGGTTGCTGTGAACCTCTCAACGACCAGGTTGGACACTTGGTGAGTCGTGCTCTTTTCTGGGGTAGACTTAGGATACATTATACATTTTACCAGTGACTCCATGTGAAGCAAACAATAAAATATGCATTCTATAACTGGGCCGAACACTAATCATGTCTTGTCTCCCTTTTCCCGGAAAGAACCTTCTTGTGCCAGGTCGAGGCATGGCCCCTTTTGTTCCCCCAACCGAACCTTAGTTCGCGTCGGGAGCTCCGCCCTCTCTTTTTTCCGATGAGACTTGTGAAAATCTAGTGGGCGGGAAGGAAGCCCGAGACCGCGTCTCGCCGTCTCCCACGAGTTTTTCAAAGTAACGGGACATTTGGTTTGGTCAGCTCTTGTTCGGGGTCCACATTGCAGGTTTCATAGCCAGAGAGCGTCACGCATGTGGCTTTGGCTCTTGAAGGCCTGCCTCTGGCGGCCGGAATGGCTGCGAACTCCCGGGAATGGATGACTGGTTGTTTTTTTTGCTGCGGGGGTGAAAAGTTAGGAAGCACAACGCGGTATGGCCCTTCGACCATTGCATCCTACATTTGGATATGCGTAGATAGGGATACCCCGCTCTAGAAGGTTTGCCAGGGCTTGGTGAGAGTCCCGCACTTGGGTTTTGATCCGCAACCTGCATGCCAGACCTATGTGGCGATCGCGTGTTGGTGTTTTTGGTTTTCCAGGCCCCGGTCAAATGATGTCTTTGACGACCGTCAGACGGGTACCCGTTGGCTCCAAGAGGGTTCCGGGAACCACCTCAAAAGTGGTTGGCGGACATGAATCCCCTAATCTTGATGCCCGCCAAAGACCCAACACAAAAATCACAGCCACTCTGGTTTTGGAGGGTGGTTTGAATCGTTAGTGCTGAGACAATGTTGGATGTCCACCAAGGACCCAAGCAACAGCTCACCGCTCTGGTTTTGTCCATGGTTTTTGACAAATAAACAAGACCCAAGAAACAAATAAACCAAAGACCCAATAAAC